TTCACACAAACTGTGTGACTGTATGGTCTCTGTCATGTCTGAGTGATGTTTTACATTCATTAACTGCACAATTGCAACTGTTTTCCTCTTCACATGATGCTCTGACATTATATATTCATGTGAGTAGACTGCTTGCATGAACAGGTTCTTGCTCAAACAAGCTGCCTTTCGATCGTGGGAGTTGACTCAAAGTGGTTTTACAAATTGGTCCTTGGGTATGGAAAGGATGAAAGAGTAATCTAAGCTTTTTGCTACAGGGATTAGTTAAAAGGTAAAGGTTCCCTTGCTCGAAAGCCAGTCAAATCCGACTCTAGGGTTGCGGTGCTCAAAGCCGAAAAGCCAGCACTGTCCGAAGACGTTTCCGTGGTCATGTGGCCAGCATGACTAAACACCAAGGCGCACAGAACGCTGTTACCTTCCCACCGAAGTGGTACCTATTTATCTACTTGCAATTTCTTGCTTTCGAACTGCTAGGTTGGCAGGAGCTGGAACTAGAGATGGGAGCTCACGCCATCATGCGGCACCCGGGTCTTGAACTGCTGAACTACTGACCTTCCACAGCCTGTAGTTCAGCATCTTAACCACTTGAGCCACCGCAGCTCCTGCTACAGGGATTAGGTCTCAGTTTAATGCCACAAATGTTCTTTTTCAAGCACGTGTAGTCGCGTGCTAGATCAGAAGGAACCATTCAGATGACCACTTAATTACGTATATTTTGTATTCACTGTGACCAAAAATATTCATCATGAGCAAAGCCCCCCAAAAGTGGCCATTTGAGGCAATCTTGTAGAACCATGAATGCACAAACACTAATTGTAGATCATCTGCCTAGTTGTGCACAGAACAACTGTTAAAAATGCCTTCATTCATACCAAGTGGAAAATAGACTTACCTTGAGATGCAGCCCCTTCTCTGTCGTGGGAAACACCTCAAGAAAAGGTGAGGAAAGGCAAAGGTAGGCTGCATAAGGTTGCCAACTCTGGCGTTGAGAAATTCCTGGAGATTTGAAGCTTGGGGAGGGAAGAGATGTTCAGCAGAGATGTGATGCCACAGAGTCCACCCTCCAAAGCAGCCATTTCCTCCAGGGGAACCCAATGCTGTAGTTCAATTCCAGGAGAATGCCAGGCCCCACCTGGAAGCCAGCCTCCCACAGCCAGCACAGCACTCGAGCAGTCACAAGTTTCTGTTTCAAGATCCTGTGAGAATGCCTGTCTCTCTTCCAAGCAGAACAATTTCAGTTGTGTGTCGACCAACATTCAAGCCTATTTCAGCCTGTCCACAGCAAGCAAAAACAGTTTTAACTCCGCATTACTCTGCAGTAGACTAGCCGAGCAGTCAAGCTTTAAATATGTTGGGATGTGCTAAGACAGCTTTTATGTCTATCTACATGTCCTATGCCTAAAAGTGTTATGATGTGCCTGCTAGTCATAAAGCCATTGTCTTATGCACATACAGGTCACACATCTATTTTATAATGTGGCTCACTGGATATTTTTTTAAAACCTGTTGCATCATGTAGACATACAATTGCTGTAAGGATATTATACTGTAATTGCAAACATAATTTAAGTGTTTCTAATAAAGGAGTAGGATGGGATGAGGGGCTAAAAATGAAAAGGGCTGGTGAATGGATTTACTGATTAGCTTTTTTGGACTTCATTAGCTCTTAGATGGCAACTGATTATTCCACTTATAAAAACATGGATCCATTAGGGAAGGTAAGAAATACCTGAATAATTCTTTTAACTCTCTTTCTGTAGTATCATGTCTTACTTACAGCAACAAAACTACTAAATCTTTTCTGAGATGAGAGACTCTGCCACTATTAGATTTATTTATGAATATATGTTCTGCTCCATATAATTTGTACGTTACAGCTTAGAATCCCAACATGAAGACGTAATGATTATATTATTCTGCACTAAGATTGCCAACCTCCAGGACAGACCTAGAGATTTTCTGGAATTCTGACTGATCTCCCGATGACAGAGATCCTTTTCTCTGGAGAAAATGGCTGCATTGTGTGGGGAGGGTGAAATCCAGGAAATTATATCCCTCCCCTTCCTTGAGGAAGGCCAACTCATCCACCCTGGCTGGGCCCAGGTGGGAGCAGTGGGGGCTGAGAATGTCTCCCAGGTGGGAGAACACCCACTCACTCTGGACACTGGTGGGAGGGCAGGAGAGGAGACTCATGGCCACACAAGAGAGGTCGGGCCAGATGGCAGCCTTGCACGACCAGTACTCCAGGGGATCGGCCGAGGCGGGCTCAGGGCACTCAGCAAGGTACTCCCTCACCATTACTTCTGCTGAATCCTCCGCCATGGCACACCTGGCATCCCTGCCACTGCTGACCTCCCAGTTTACCACTGACAACCAGGAGCAAGGCTTCTCCATGGTTGGGCTCTTTGAGGCAAAGGTGTGGCTCCTCCTCCTTCTCTCCCCCCCTCCAGCCTTTTCCACCCGCTGTTCCCTCTGACCACATTTGCTGGCATGTAGCCTCTACACTTCTTTGCAGAGCTCATGCTTCCATTGCATGAACTCTGGAGAGCAGGGTTGCTACAGCCCCTAGGTCCGGGCAGGGGATTCCCCAGTTTCAGGCGTTTCTCCCTGCCATGGACCAGATGGCCAGTGGGGGAAACGTTGCTCCCTAAACAGGGATGTCACCGCACAACATCCCAGACGCAATGTCACCAAGAAGTCATCCTGGCAGGATGGGTATAGTGCCTGGGGTTGGTGCTGTGCATGTTTAGTACCGGGTTTAAATCACATGTTCAGGTTCTTGTCCACTGAATGTAAGACTTACTTGATACTCTTGCAAAGAAAAAGTGGGTGCACATTGTACTGTCTCTATGCACCTCCACTGTAATATGTGTACAGGCCTCGTGATCACTCTGTAGTTACTTATCAGGCTTCATGGCCATGCAAAAATGTTTATTCCAAAATCAGAACAATGTTTGAGTCCAGTGGCACCTTTAAGACTAACAAAGTTTTATTCAAAATATAAGTGTTTGTGTGTGCGCACACTTCTTCAGATACATTGAAATGGAAGTTACCAGTCCATTCAACTCAAAACAGTTCAATGCATCATCAATGACTTCCAGCCTCTACTGAATGACAATTTTCTTTCACAGGCACTGGGGGTAGACTTTTTCTTGCACACAGACAGCCCCTCAGTCTTGAACAACTCCTCACCCACAATAATACAACATCTGACTTGAACATGGACACTGGTACCAGCTCTTGCAATAAACCCAGATGCTCACTTTCATGCCACAACACAATTACTGGAACTAACAACATCAGCTACACTATCTCAGGCTCATTCACTTGCTCATCTTCTAACACTGCATATGCCATTAAATGCCAACAATGTCTTTCAGTTCTCTACATAGGGCAAACACATCAAACCCTACAGCAAAGGATAATTGGACACAAATCTGACATCAAGAATCACAAGACTGAGAAACTTGTAGGAGAACACTTCAGCCTTCCAGGACATTCAGTGGGTAGCTGTTTTATTGCAAAGGAACTTCAGGAACAGATGAGAAAGAGAAATTGCTGAGTTACAAGTTATTACAACACTCAGAACAATGGAACTTCCAGGACTTAACAGGGATATTGGTTTCTTATCTCACTACATATGTTAATATAATTCAGTCTTTTTATCTGTATTCTCACCAGTCCCCCAGAAGGGCTATAGGTAAAGGCTCCCTTGCTCGAAAGCCAGTCGAATCCGACCCTAGGGTTGCGGTGCTCATCTCCGTTTCAAAGCCGAAGAACCAGCGCTGTCCGAAGACGTTTCCGTGGTCATGTGGCCGGCATGACTAAACACCAAGGCGCACGGAACGCTGTTACCTTCCCACTGAAGTGGTACCTATTTATCTACTTGCAATTTCTTGCTTTCGAACTGCTAGGTTGGCAGGAGCTGGAACTAGAGACGGGAGCTCACTCCATCATGTGGCAACTCAGGTATTGAACTGCTGAACTACTGACCTTCCACAGCCTGCAGTTCAGCGTCTTAACCACTTGAGCCACCACAGCTCCAGAAGGGCTATATATCCTCCTTATTTTAATTGCAGTTGTGGACTGGAATACTAGATTACAATGTAGTAAGTGGTAGAATGTAATGTAATTTGGAATGGTAGATTGGAATGTATTTCTTTGGTCTAGGGACAGAGGAGAGACACTACACAGCTAATCACACCACCTCGAAGAAGAGGATGCTGCACTGTTGCCTCCACACTTGAGAGGAGACACATGGATCTGATAGCAAGGTTTCAGCTAATTACTGTCAGCATTCCACACAATCTCTGATTTTGATATATTTATTTCTGTCACTTTGTTTCCCCCTGGAATTAAACCCAAACAAATGGTGACCATATAAACAAAGCTTGTTATTCCAAGTTGGTCCTTGTATCTGTTAAACACCTTTATTATGCTGTATGCTAATTTGCTGCTCACCTTCTAACTATAGGTATGGACTGGTAACTTCCATTTCAATGAATTTGAAGAAGTGTGCGTGCATACGAAAGCTTATACCTGAATAAAACTTGGTTGGCCTTAAAGGTGCCAGTGGACTCGAACTTTTTCCTGCTCCTCCAGACCAACATGGCTATACCTCAATCTACTCCTAAATCAGTATGCTAAGGATTGCCGTTACGAGTACCTGCCATTGACCACAGTAAAGCTGCACGGGAGAGTGCGACACAGCGTAAATACACTGGTCGGGTGAGGTCGGGAGTCATTGCATGAAACTCAGTGGGGCTTATTAGATCTCAGTAAACATGCTCGGAACTGGGCTCTCTGTGTGTGAGCGTCTATGCCCTTTCCTCAAGAACAGTCCTCCACGCCCGAGGGTTCGCGAATGCAATAGCTGCAAAGGCCGAGGCCGCTCTGAGTCTCCGGCGAAAGCGGAACCTTGGTGCCAGGGCTCCGTGGCTGCGGGGGAAAGAATTCACGCGCGGCCCTAGGAAAGGACGAGCGAGCGACGAGGCCTGCTGGGGGTTGTTCCTGAAGCCGCTTCCTTTTTCTTTCCGGTTGCTCCTACAGCCGTGTCGGGGTGAGTATCCGCAACTGTTCCTCTCCCCCGGCACCGCTCTGTTCACAAAGAGCGCAGCCGGCTCTTGAGGCCTTCCTTTCCTGGGGGTGCAGGAAGAGGGAGAAGGTCACCGGGCGGCATTCCCCGGCAGCGGCCTCTTTCGCTTTCACATTCCCCGCCGGAGCTCATGTGGTGCGTGCAGGGCGGCCTGAGTGCCAGTGTGTTCCCGCGCGGCCCTTTGCACGGGGCTCACAACCGTGTGGCCTGGGGCAACTTGGGAAACTGAATCTCTGTAAACCCCCCCCCCTCACTTCTCTGTCAGTCGCAGTTCTCCTCTCCTTTTCCCACCAAAGGTAAGAAAGGTCATACGCGTCCCTCTTTCGAGCAAGGTTAAAGGCTCACGTTGTGCTTTTCGCTTTCCTCCCCAAATCTTCCACAGAACCTCTCTTTGTAAGTATGCTGGTATTCCTTGCCTGCTAATAGTGTTGAAGTGATATTTTGTTGTAATGGTTGCATATACATGTAAGGTGGGTTGGTGTTTTCCGTTGGGGGTGAGAGACTCAAGCTGAGACTGAACGTGGCTTGTCTGAGAGTCACCTTGTAAGTTAATGGCAAACGGAACACAGGAGACTTCTTGGTTCCCTCCACAACTGTCTGTTTTAAGAGCAGTGTGGTGCCTTTTCTCAGTTTGTCATTACTTGAGGTAGGCCTTTCTTATGGTTTTCTTTTCAAGATCGAGTTGTGTTGATACATTACATACATCCAGGGCTTTTTTTTTTCTGGGGGAATTGCACAGGAACGGCGTTCTGGAACCTCTTTGACAAAATTCTTTTTAAAATGTTTAAAAGTTCATGAGTTTTCAGTATACAGATTGAAAACCTCATTTCCCTCTTGAGAGTCCCTGCACCTTTTTTTTTTAAAAGCCCTGCATACATCAAAGAAGTTCTTTTGTGGGTATGCACTCTATCTATGTGTATGAAACATGCACTGTCTTGAACCAGGATTGGGTTCTGTTCTTCCATGTATCCAGTCCATACAAATTGCAGCAATCCCACTGCAGTTGATTCTGTTTATATAGCAGTTTGTGAGAATCATGACCTGACACCAGTAAGCATAAGCATACTGTGAATAAGGAAAACTGAAGCAAAACTGAAGCATGAGACTTCTGCCATCTCAGACTGGAAGAACTCTCCTTGTATTTACAGATTTGTACTGAAAGTACAGGATTGTACTGAAAGTACAAGAATGTAGATTTACCTCACAACCTAGCAGTAGGGAGGGATTAATGTGAGCAAATGCAGTGAGAGGTTAGATTTGTACTGAATAGAACAGTACTAAAGTGATTTCCTTTTGTACATGGGTGGAATTAGATCACTAACTACATAACAGCAGCTCTGACCATGTGGCCCCATAGCTTCTAACCACATGTTAAATCCTGCCTACATCCCTTCTTCTCTAGATTTCATAAGTGGTTGTTCAAGCATTGTACTTTCAGCTGAAGAGAGACTATAGATGGTTATCTGTGTATAAAGTCAGAGCCATCACAAAATAAAAATTGTAAGCAATTGCTGCAGACTTGATAGTAGTTTGATTTTACCCATTAAAACAAGTATATAAGAGGAATCTCATAAAGCAGCTAGTGAAAGAAATAGGAACCCATATTGTCTACAGAAGTTGTATATCAGGACTTCAGGATATTAGGAATGTATGCAATATACTGGGTGCTTGATAAACCTTATTTTTGCAACCTCAAATAGGCACAGTGGTGGCGAACCTATGGCACACATGCCAGAGGCGGCACTCAGAGCCCTCTCTGTGGGCACGCGTGCCATTGCCCCAGCCAGGCCCAGACAGTCATTAAAGTGTGGAATTCTCTGCCAAAGTAAATGAAAGCATTTGGGATTGCTTTCCTTACTTTGTTTGGATCATCTTATGTTAATGTATGAGGTTTTTTTTCTAAACTAAAACCTCAGTATTTAGGTTAAATTGCCGTGTTGGCACTTTGCGATAAATAAGTGGGTTTTGGGTTGCAGTTTGGGCACTTGGTCTCTAAAAGGTTTGCCATCACTGGGCTACAAGAACAGTGACTTTGCTAAGCAACTGCAGTACGTGGCTGGCATTCCTTGTGAGGCACAAGGACTGCAATTCTGACAAACTTCAGGTCACAAGAAGAGGGCTTATCAAGCACTCAGTTGAATATCTGGCAATCTTTATATATGACTTTTTCATTCTCTAATTGCTTCATGAGATTTCTCTTAGATACTTGATATAAGTTTGCATGTAGTGCCAAACTGTGTATTGCTGTAAATCGGGAAGGAGGGATTGTGTGAACAAGCCAGAGAGTTTCCAGAGTCACTAATATACTGCCAAACCACAGTTTGGTGTTATATCTAAACCAAACCTTACAGATAGGTTCAGTTGGTAGGCTGATTAGAGATGTACAATTTCTTAAAATGTTGAAGCCCTTAGAAGAAAAAAATGCCAATTTGGTGGAGAATTAAAATATATGCAATATAATAACTTTCTCATCAACACTAAAATTGTCTTGTTGCTTTAAAGCAGAAATACCTTGGATTTCTCCAAGCAAAACTGTACAAAATAGCCAGTATTAGAAACAGAGCGGCAGATTTCTCTATTCTGTGATACCTTAGAGCATGTACCTTATTCTCTTCTACCTCTCAGGCAGCAAATAACTAAAAGTTGAAAATATAAACACAAAGATTGTGGTAAACAAAGGGAAGTGTAGTATTTGGACAGAAGAAGTCTCATACAGTAGGACCAGTGACATGATTGGTTATAAAGTTAAACTTGATAACATTGAGCTGTTCTATAGAGATGTTCTCTCTCTCTCATCTTAACCTACCTCACAGGGTTGTTGTGAGGATGAAATGGAAGAGCAGGGACTGATGTGTGCCACCTGAGCTCATTGGAGGAAGGGCAGGATAAAACTACTGAGTAGACTATTGCTTGTTAGTGGTGGACAGAATTATTTACATATAAACAATAGACATTTGCTAAATTGAATACATCTGCAGTCTTTAATGCTGTAGATTGTCATGCGTGACAATCTCCATAGTACATGTTTTGTGTGATTAATACCTTGTCTTAATATAGCATGTTCTGAAAGAGAAAAATATTGAAGCTTCTCTCAGTGCTCCCCCAAATTTTCATTTGTAATAGTTTTAAAAAGCCCCCCCCCCCCCGGCTGCCTTCAGTCTCTAAAACTGATTTGTAAAAATAACAGAAGGATTCTTTAAAATTAATTCTTTCCTCAATATTCTTGATGGCCTGTGAGGCTGTTCAGGGGGAAAAAACACTCTTAATTGACAAAGCTATTTTTAGTGTTAGAACTTCTGCTTATAGTAAATAAAGCAACAGTTGAAGGGGAGAAAATGACACATGTTCCTAGTCAGTGATTAAAAACTTATGTTTAGCTAGCACAAACTTAGTTTTGAGTTAAGATTAGGAGCTGTATTTGATCATAAGGAGTTGTGCTCCATATGTGAATGATTCACACTACTTCAGAATACACGATTATAAACATGTTGACGAGACAGATTCCTGATCTCGGATAATAATAAACCGTTGTATTGAATAATAATAATAATTGTCCAGATCAGCTGGGAGGGAGGGAGGGGTTTCAGAGCTGTGAAATATGTTGCCCATAGAATAATAATTCCTGATTGCAGATCTGACATTTAACCCAGATGACAGGCTGATCATTGTATGCTTATCTCTGGTCATGCCATTCCTTTGCATCAGGCTATGGGCTGACCTGGGGCAGATGCATCCTTTGGTGACTTCAGCAGGCGCATGGCGGAAGAAATGGGAGGGTGAGAGCAGCCCCACTGTGGATGTCTTTCTAGCCAGCTCTCTTCTTTGATTCTGCTGGTCTTTATTCTGCTAGTGCTTTCTCCATTTCTGTGCATGAGAGACTGACCTGGAGCTCCGTTTAGGTTTATTTATTTATTTATTTATTATTTAGATTTTTATCCCGCCCTCCCCGTAGGCTCAGGGCGGCTTAGAGCCCTTCATAGGAACTTGCAGGTGGTGTTTCATTTCCCCCTGTATTCCTCTCCACACACTATTTTCTCTTTCCATGCCAGCCCCCATAGTCTCTCTCCTTCTCCTGCTTCCTTCTGTTGAGACCACCCACCAACCTACCTTTATCTGCCATCCCCAATCTTCAGCTTTTCCTCGTTCCCTCCCCAGATAGCTTCTCTGAAGGAAAAATCTGGTCAAGAACAAGTTGCGTGGTAGCAGGTTCCTTAGGTATCAAGTTTCTTGCTGGTGGTACCTGGCCCTAAAGCTATCCAGCTGTCCTCGACCAGGGCCAGGGCCTTTTTGGTCCTGGCCCCAACCTGGTGGAACTCTCTGCCAAATACCATCAGGGCTCTGGGAACCATATGCATTCCCTCAGGGCCTGTAAGGCAGAGATGTTCTGCCAGGCCTTTGGTTGAGGGCAGCAGTAGTTTCCAGCATATCTGGCACCTTTTTCGTTCCAGTTGTTTTCCATGTATGCTTTGCTCTCCTGTCCTCTGCCCACGAAGTGGCCAGCAGTCGTTAGTATACGCCATATATTTTCTTGAAATCTCTTACTAATGTTTTAACCATTTTATCTTGACGTTTTTATGAATGTTGTACATTGCCCAGAGCCCTGCATCGCAAGGCTTGGGCGATTAACAAATTTAATTAATAAATAAATACGGTGGCTGCTGCAAGGGTGAGTCACGCCCAGTAGTGAATTGTCTGGGTGAGTTTTATTTATTTTTATTTTTTTCTGATTCCTAGGCCGCCCTCCCCGTGAACGGGCTCAGGGCGGCCAACATTAGGGCATGCATGCTGCTGGTGCCCGCTCGGCCTGGGTGAGTTGCACAGTAGTGAGGCATCCAGTGGCCATGGCCAGGGCTCAGGGGTTGTGATGGAGTTGTCCTGGCCTCCCAGTTGACCCTTGCTCCCTCTCTCTTTCCTACCACTCACTGACCGAGGCTTGGCTATATTGCGGTTGCTTAGCAATCTAAAATGGCTACAGAGATCTCAGAACATAGTCTCATGAGATCTCAGTGGGCATTCATTGGTTAAAGCTGCTGGCATTGTGTCTTATTATATGGGATGGTTTTAAGCTCTCACTGTTTTGTTTTTAGGGTCTGGTGGGTTTCCCTCAGGTTCCTAGAATAAACTTCCCTTTCATTCTCTGGCTCCATTGTGTGGGTTTTTTGATTCATACTCTATGGCACAGAATTGGATATAATAATGTAATGTTGGCATATGTTTGCAATGGATTGAAACCATTTCAGAGGCTATGTGGATATAAAGACCCGGCACAGTTCGTGGGGAGGGCGGGGTATAAATGCAATAAAATAATAATAATAGTAGTAGTGCCAGGTGCATCTGTCAAACCTTTTGCCTGTTCCATAGAGGTTGGAGTAGGAAGGGCTGAGGAGAAGCAAGTTGGTGATTGATTTCTTTGCCGTTCCCTGCACTGACCGCCAGAACATAGTAGTTGTAAATCTTTATCTAACATTGTGCCTCAAAGAGACAGTTATTAACAGCTTTCTAAAATCATATGTCAGTCTGTAACCTTTTTTCTTTCTGCATAGGCGTAACAGTCAAAATGGTACATGCTGAAGCCTTTTCTCGCCCATTGAGCCGGAATGAAGTTGTTGGCTTAATTTTCCGGTTGACAATATTTGGCGCTGTGACCTATTTCACCATCAAATGGATGGTAGATGCAATCGATCCAACCAGGAAACAAAAAGTGGAAGCTCAGAAACAGGTAGGAGCAGACAATTTTTTTCTTCTGTAACACCAAACTGTATTCAAAACATCATTGGGGATAGAAAAAAGATAATTATGTGCTTGTAAACTACTGCAGCTGTGATTGGTTGCAGAGTTACTTGGAATCCTAAGCTAGTCATGACTGTGAAGGCAGAAAGCTGTGTGAGGAAGCATGGTTTCTGCTTTCCTCCCATTGGACTGGAGGAAATTAAGACTGGGACCCTTGGCTGAGAATGCTTAGGATGTTTCCTAACTCACTCCTCCTCTGACAAAGCCCCAGTTTAGCTCCTTAGGATAGCGATCTGAGACAGTAAACTGGTTTTGCTTATTTAATCTCTTGTATCTGTAACAAGACATCCACACTTTCATTTATAAAGGGGGAAGAGAGAATCCATGTGCAAACAAGCCCAAATATTGGGATTCCATTCTTAGAAGTATTTATTTGAAATTTACTGAATATTCACATTTCCCACATAACAGCAGTTTTTTAAAGAACAGGCGGTTGTCACTGTATGCTTTTTTTCTTTACAGGCAGAAAAGTTAATGAAGCAAATAGGTGTAAAAAATGTGAAGCTTACAGAGTATGAAATGAGCATCGCTGCACACCTGGTAGACCCTCTCAGCATGCATGTAAGAGTCTCTTTAGTCCATTTTTGCCACAATGTAAAGAAATGGTGCGGGGGGAACAGTATAGTATTTTGGATAAAGCTTGGTACACGTAGCTGCAATTGTTCTTGTAGGAATTGCACTTTAATAAATTGAGAATCACATAACAGCTTCCTAAGTTGCCAAGATCAGGAGTCTTGTTGTTCAGAATAACTTTCTGCTAGGAAATTATGTTGGGTGTACCTTGGAACAAAAACAGGTAGAGAAGACTTTTCCTCAGGGCCAATTGTAGAGTACACGTGTACCTTGAAAACTGTCATCTTTAAAATCAGCATGAATTTCTAATATAATACAGCCTCTCTTTTCTGTGTGTGTGTGCATGTATGTCTCAGAGTAGCTCAGTTTCTCTTATGTATTACATCTACATTTGTGTAATTACATCTTTGGCCATCAGCTTCAAAGAGTTCAAAATAGAGCTTCTTTGGGGATTTGAGACAATGGCCCAATAATGGCTGTGCATTTTTCTTAACACTATATTTGTGCCTCAGGTAACGTGGAGTGATATTGCAGGTTTAGATGACGTTATTACAGACCTGAAGGATACTGTCATTTTGCCAATCAAGAAGAAACATTTGTTTCAGAACTCCAGACTTTTACAGCCACCAAAAGGTAAGGATGGAAATGTCCTAGATCACTTTTTTTGAGAGCTAGCATGGTGTAGTGGTTATGAGTGGTGTACTCTAATCTGGAGAACTGGGTTTGATTTCTCACTCCTCCACGTGAGGTTTGTTGGGTGACCAAACATATTTTTGAATGTATGAACCTGCCTTATACTGAATCAGACCATTGGTTCATCAAGGTTGGTATTGTCTACTTTGACTGGTAATGACTCTCCAAAGTCCCAGGTAGAGGTCTTCACAACACTAGTACCTGACCCTCCTGGTCGGATATATCAGGGATTGAACCTGGGACCTTATCATTGTCAAATAGATGCTCTACCACTGAGCCATGGCCCCCATAGCAGATTGCATCAATAAAAAAACAACATTGACCCATTCCAAGCTTTCCCACTCAAGGGGGGGGGAGCAGGGAAAGATCATGTGAATTGTGCAATCAGCCATTCATATGAAGTGCTCAGCTCAAACGGAGGGCTGTCTGTATGGGGAAGGGGAAGGACCATCTGCTTCTTTTCCATCATTCTTTTTTCTGCTCCAGGTGAACTTGTGGGAGTGTTTGAACTGGGGTTGTCCAGACTAGAGTTGTGGAGGCCCGGGGGAAAAAACAGAAAAATTGGGGGGAAACCTGTCCCCCCCCCTTTTCCCCTGAAGCCGTGTTTTTCCGGTAAAATTGGGAAAAAATAGATTATCGAATATTTTCTTTTACAATGATAAATAACATTTTGATGGCAAGGTGTTCATATATGCAGTCCTTCAGTATTCTAAAAACTATGTAGCATGAAGATTGTTATGTAAGACTATGTAAAGTATCAAATCATTGCAATTCCTGTACACTAAGGATAAGCAAATGCTGGAATACAATTCAAATACTGAGAAAACACTGAGGATACAATTCTCCAAATGCAAGAGTAGATGAATTTCTGTCTTTTGGGGCCATGCAGTTGTCACGAGAGAAGGAAAAAGGTTTGTTTCCTTTTGCTAGTGGGCTTCATCTTGTTGGTATAGTTGATGGATCTGTTTCTTTTTTTAAAGTTATTTCTTTATTACATATACAAAGACAAACAAACATGAATATAAAACATGGGGTAAACATTTCAAATCGTATCTAATAGTTTTGCCTTATCTACATTATTCATTACCTATTTATATCATTTTTACAGGACAATAGGGTTTTATAAATATCTTTTTTCAAGTTTTATTTGTATGACGCTTTTAAGTTGTCATAGTTTCCAATCCAAGTATAAAATTTTGACCAAGTATTCTCAAATACCTCTTCTGTTTGATTTTTCAAGAATAACGAAAGTTGTATCAATTTCTGCTATTTCCAGTATTTTGTTAATAATTTCTGTAACGATTCCTTGTTTTTGTGTGTGTGTGTCTCTTTAAAAGTTTGGTTGCATGGCTGTGGTAGATAGACTAGAGTGGTTGAGAGAGGCAAGTGTGGTATGATTGCTGGTTGACAGAGAGGGGGGAGGGGTTTTGGAAGTGAATCTGGTTGGATGAGTATGTGAGTCAGTTAGTAGTTTCAGTTAGATGTTGACAGTTGATGTTCAGTTAGACAAGCAGTTCTGTGTTGAAGCAGTTATAAACTGACAGCTGCGGTTGTTCAGTGAGACAGAGAGAAAGCTGAAAGTTGAATGTATAGGAAACAGTAAAGTTTAAGTGACCACCAGTTAAAGGAAAGTCTGAAGGTCATAACAAACGGGAGAGAAACAGTGAACACATATGGCATTGAGATAGACAAGTGTTACAAAGTTACATGAAAAGATCCCTGTCAGTGAGGGAGAAGATTGTGTGTGATACCAAAGCAATTGTTCATCATTTACACATTACTAGTTACATTGTACCACCCTCTTATTTAGTATTTGTTTCAATAAATCCTCTTTTATCAAAGTTTATACCAGCTCTGAATGACATACTTCCCAGGAACACATAGTTCCTCGTGAGCCTTGAACTCGGTCTACCAAACCAGTAAGCAAAAGTAAAAGCATAAAGGTTTGGAAATCCTTAAAATTTCCTGGTGGCAGCAGATTCTACCCAGTTAAACAAAATACAGAACACTTTTAAAGTGAAACTAGTCCTCCCCAATAAGGAGGACGTCACAATTTCACTTTTAGTTGGAAATTCTGTTCTCTTTCAGTGTTTATCATATAGTATTCTAGCAGAGGTAACCACGTGTAATATAAAATATAAATAATTTTTTTCACATCTGTCTGATATTATAGTCAACAGGGATATTTCTGGGGTAAAGGGAATAGAAGGTTTTTAGAGTTTTTAAAAATTATTTCGTGTATCCATGCCCAAAACTTCTTTGCTTTTTCGCATTGCCACCACATATGGAAGAAAGACCCTACTTTAGTTTGACATTTCCTACAGGTATTAGGGCATTTTGGGTCAATTTTTGACAAGATATCAGGGGTGACGTACCATCTGTGGATCTGTTGTGCTTGTGATTTTTTAGTTTCTTTTCCAAATTTGCGACCACTGGTCTAATTCTATGTTGTGGCCTAGATTTTGTGCCCACTTTATCTGTTTCTGTCCTCTCAGTACTGTGGAGGAGAGTAGGAAGATTAGAGGAGATAAAAGAATGTTCTTAGTTTTGTTATGTTGATGGTTTCTTTGGTTTTTATTGGGTGGGGTTTTTTTGGGGGGGGTTGCCTGCTCTCATAAACTGGCAAAAGAGGTTCCTTATAGTTCAGGTGTTCTTTACATTTCAAGACCTTGTAGTTCCATTTGTTAAAAAAAAAGAAAGTAAATTCAGTTTATTATTTTCTGAATAACCTGTACTTCCAACATATCAAACTGGATACTTTTATGTCAAAACAATTTATGCACACTGCATTTTATGTTCCCAAAGTAACAAAGTGACTTTCAATCTGTAAAAGTTACTAATATTGCATTTTTCAAAAAATGTTACCTCTCTAGCACAGACATGCTCTGAACTTTTATTACATTAAATTTTTTAAAACTTTCTTTACCAAAATAAGAATTCAGAGCTCCATTTCATGAGCATAGATGAAACAAAGTCTTCACATGCACTTGGCATTCAGTCCCTTGGAGTTTAATGGAACTTGTGTCCCAAGTAAATATATTTTTGGGTTGGGCTGCTTAATATCAAAAGTTTTTTTTCCTTGTTGAGAAGTTCTGTGTCACATTTTTGCCTTCCCAGTGTCTTTTCCTCTGCCATCATTGCACTCTTCATATAACCTTGAAAAAGGTGATATGTTGTGTTTTGATAGGTGATGATTTCCTAAACTAAAAGGAAATGCTTAGGATTAATTCAGTATGAAAGCGGGATGCGAGTCGCAAAACAATTGTTGTGTTTAAGGACCATTATGTGCTTAGTCTTATTAATATTTAGATGTGGCTGGAGGGGGAGTGCTATCTCCTTCACACCAGAATGTGAACTAGACTGATAACAATGTGTTGCTTTTCAGGAGTTCTTCTCTATGGGCCTCCGGGCTGTGGTAAAACCTTGATTGCCAAAGCTACAGCAAAGGAAGCAGGCTGTCGATTTATTAATCTTCAGCCCTCAACGCTGACAGACAAATGGTATGGGGAGTCTCAGAAGCTGGCAGCTGCTGTTTTTTCCCTCGCCATAAAGCTTCAACCTTCCATCATCTTTATTGATGAAATAGGTAAAATAATACATACAATACGTTACATGTAGCCATAGGAAAATGTTGCATTAAATCTTTTTTTAAAAATGTGGGCAAACGTGTCCTATATAATAATCAGTGTGGGGGGATATGTTTTTATATATTATTTTAAAGTCACAAATTTAGATTGCTTTGAAAATTAAGAAATTGTTTGATAGCACAGTTTACCCTCAAGAAGTACAAAAGCTCTTTTACCAGTCCTTAGTATTTTTAGCATTGCATTTCGTGTCGTAAAAATAATATGAATGCCCTCATCTCTTTTTTCGGAAGCGTGGGGGCAAGAGTTCTTGCTCATCCTCTTCCAGTCTAGTTTTGTGTATATCGGTTAGGAAACCCCCCAGTGGGTGTTCAAAATTATCCTGATATGTTCTGCACCTTCTACCTTTTAAAAATATTGCTCACTTTAAATATGTTTCAGCGCTATGAAAACAACCAGCATTAACCATATAAAGCATTACTCTGGTATTGAAATAAAACATTACACTTGTCTGAAGGTCAAACTTTATATGCCTAGCATATGGTACAGGAAAGTACTTCCACGTCTGGACCAAATTGGTACAATATCTGTTAATTTGCATAGCACTTTTGCACACTTTATTTTTCAGAGTAGTTCATGTAACTTATTCTCATAAAGAGCAGTTTTATGGGTGGTGAAGAACATAGGCAATTGGGTATTGTGCTACTTTGTAAATATATTGGGATCCTCATTCTTAGTATGGCCTAAGTTACCTCGGTGAGGTTAATCTTACATATCTAACATGTGGAAACACATGGCCACGATCATAGGCAAGAAGGCTGTCCATGCAATATTTCATAATCTGCACTGGTTAATGTGGTATCATCCCCTTGGCTAGAGTTCAAAGTTGGTTAGGATCAGGTTCACCTAATCCAGCCTCCTTTGTGAGAATTCTGGCAACCAGCAGCTACTGTATGCTTGGCTGGAAAATGGCCAGTAGTATGCTTGTGGCTGCAGATTACCCTCTTCCCACCTCTGCTGTACCAGTTCAGAGGTCTCCTCCATTTCAGATGTATTGTGACTTGGGAGCTGCTGAAATGGCACTTTCCTTGTATGTCGTCTGAATAATTTTAATATAATATGTTAAGAGTGAGGTCACTGTATCTGGGAAGGTGATGAATACTTAAGTGAATTCTGGAACTGCCATTCCTGGTAGTCCATAATTTTTTAAATTGAAATATCCTTCAAAACTCAGATTCGTTCCTGCGAAGCCGTTCCAGTTCTGATCACGAAGCCACAGCTATGATGAAGGCTCAGTTCATGAGTCTCTGGGATGGTCTGGACACTGACTACAATTGTCAAGTAGGTACAGTGTTTCACTGCCAGGAAATAAGGGTTTTCTTTGTTTAAGAGGCGATCATAGAGTGCTTACTCAATACGATCCCTGTTGTAGGAAGTTTCAGTGGCATAAATTTCCATTAAATGCAGAGAGAGAAAGCATATTAAGGCTGGAAATTTAAATGCCAGAATAAGGAAATGCTAAATGCAGGTGTACTAGTGTTCTGCTACTAGCAATAGTTTCTTTTGTTTGGTCCTCAGCTGATATTTGACTCAAAAACATGGCTTCGACAGTACACGAAGGTTCAGTCTGACAAATGGAAAAGCTGCATAGGGAGGCCTCTAGGGCAAGAATAGTGACACAGTGTGGACCCACTCCCTTCTATAGATGCCCATTTGGGGGAGAAATTGTGCCTTCTTTTATATTTAGCAGGATATTCTTTTACTTCTTCATTATTGGAAAGACTTTGCCGAGCTAGAGAAATTGTAGAGAAGCTTGGCAGTTGAGATCAGCATTTCCAGTGCATTCCCAATGAAACATCTTAAGATGTTGTCTCACAACTACCGGCTATTGTGATTGTCAAGAAATTGCAGAAGTTGGAGGAAGGGAGGGAAAAGAGGAGGCCGTAAGTGAGTTTGTCACTGGGAGAAAAAGAACTACAACTCACATGCTAAAGCTCGTCTGTCCAACAGAGTCTAGTGATAGCAAGACTCCCCGTTTTTAATGTGATTATATATTCATGTATATTTGGAGACCTAATTCTTTGCCCCCACTATCAATGGCTTGTAATACCCCATTAATGGACTAATTTACTTAAGGTGCCTCAGGACTCTTTGCAAAGTCTTTAATGCCACCGCCCCTCCCTAAAGCTAACATGCCAAGAGATTTTTTGATAAACTGGATTAGATGGGTGTCTGTTTGCTCCAGCTTTATGGCTGGGATTAAATTCACCATAAAATAAAAATCAGTAGCTGGCACCATTTACAGGATTAGAGAGCAAAAGGACTCTTATGGGGGAGAGGGGATCTTACTGGGTTACCTCGGTAGAACTCTCCCTGTTTCTCTCCACTAACCTCCCAATTCATCTGAACAATTAGCATGATTTTTCTTAGTAACTTGGTTGAGAGATCTAAATCATTTACTTGGAGTTGAGATAATGTCTGGTAGAATTCCTCCAGATAAGATTTACTTAAACAGATTGGGTTCATTAACAAAGCATGAGGAACAGTAGATTGCAGTCAAGGAAAAAGAATAAAATACTGGTTGCTTTTGATAATAGCCCTAGCAGATGTAATAGACGGGTTATATCTGATATGTGGCTGCTGGAGATTGGCATCAAAATGCAGTCGTTTTAAATCCGAAAGCAAAGCCCCCTGGACAACCTAGTAGCAGTAGATGCAATATAGAAGTCAGACAGTGTAGCTTCTACTTAATCTTAACTGGAGACACGTAAGACAAAGCTTGGCTGCACATTTGTAGGAAATCAGGCTGCGAAAGAGAAGCGAGAGTCATAACCACCTTAGAAATTCTTCATGGTATATGGGATGTTTAGCAGGAACAAATCTGGGCTTGTCTTAGTCTCTGCCTATTCAGTACATGGATGCCACCTTTCACCTTAGAAATGAAAGCTAATAGCTGATTCTGTGCAGTGTCTACTACTTTAAACATGTTGTCTTCCTTGATTTCCCCCTACGTAATGTTCCAGTGCATAGAATTGAGAAGGCAGTGGTTTATATGTTCACACCCCTGCACAGAACTTTGTGTGAAGAATCTCTGGCACTGTTTCTTTACATCTCTAGGTGGCGGTGTTGCTCTAAAATAGCTGAGGAATGCTTTAAAAACTGAATCCCAGGGTTGCTTTGTACATTACACTTTTCCCATGCAGAGGAAGTTAATACAGATCAGACATGCGCATATGTCACACTAAATGTGCAGATCATACAGCTTCTGTGTTCCTAACGTGCTTCATGTTATCAAGGACACATTTTTTTCTATGCAGAGATTATGTCCGTGTAGGAAAGCTGTTTTAAGTTGTGAAGCTGTCCTAAGACAATGGCGTTTATGGGGCAAAGTTCAAAACAAAGATTTAAGAAACAATCTTTGACAAATGTCCAGTTTTTATAAATGAACTTGAATAAACATCATAGGAGTTCTTTAAAAATTCACTAAGGGCAGGATTTTGGAAAGACAGTCTGCAGTAACTAAATATGATTTTATTAACAATGTGGATGATATAAGAATTTCATTCCTCTTCTGTGTTAACATTTCATGTCTCTCATATCATGTACACCTTTGAAAATTCATGGCAACTGTATGTTTTTGTGACAATCAAAACAATAAAGCTAGGGTCTGAATAAAAATGGATGTATATAGTACCATGCAGATTAATTTTGAGGTAGAAGATGTCTATGAGACTGCAATTCATTAACAGTTTCTTAAGGTGGTGTATAGTAAATTAGTCTGTATTGGGGATGGGCACAGACCAAAAAAAAAGGAGGTTCATGAGTAATCATGGACCACAAACTTTCACGAACTTTCCCATTTTTATGAACAAGTTCGTGAGGTCAATGATGGAGGGAGCTTACAACAGCTATTTAAAGAGAACATGTCCCTTCAAATGGCCCTTGGAAGCCCACTGCCGCTGTGGCGATGCCATGCGGAAGTCAACTCAGACGGCATTTAAATGCCTGCTGAGCTCCCTTGCATTGTGCCACTGTGGCGCCACAGTGAGGAAGTGGACTCAAGAGTTCATTTAAATGCCTCCTGAGTTGACTTTGCTCATGGACCAAATGAACACCTGAAAACCTTGGGCAGTCTGTGGAAAGTAGGAGGGCACGGACCAGGCAAACAAACTACGAACAAGGCCCTAGTCTGTGGAAAAATGTGGTTCCTGGTCCGGTTTATAGCCATCCCTAGTTTCTATCATAACATGGTAGTGGTTTAGTTCTGGAGGTTACTGGTCCATTTTGGCTTATAGTACTGTGAGGGCTTTCAAATCATTTGAACTAAAACATCTGGGAGGAATTGCCAAGGATATTCCAGATTGTGCTAATTCTTACCCTAAAAGGGGGGGGAACCACACTTGTGGGGGGGAACCCCATACTTTAAACCAAAAAAGTTACAAGATTTACTGTCCTCATCTTACTTATGTGTAAGAAATGCTTTAATGGGGCTAAACTAGATGTCTGAGAACGTTGATTTTTGTCTCAAAATTTGCAGGAGGCTGACATTTTGATGCAACACCAAGTGTTTCTCTACATTTCATCCATGCTTTCCCCCCAGTTGCAGCTCAGAGCTGAAGACTGGTGATTTGTTTAATGGCTCCAAAGGAGCCATGCAGTCCCGGAACTTAGCCCATAGGGCACAGTTAAATCTCTCAAGAGAGGCAATTGCAGTCTTTGTTTGACCTCACTTCCAATTGTGATAAATCTCCAGGTGATAGTGATGGGAGCTACCAATCGCCCTCAGGATCTTGATTCAGCCATTATGAGAAGAATGCCTACGAGATTCCATATCAACCAACCTGTAAGTCATTAAAGATTAACAGGATTGTGTTCTTTGTCTTGTGTACTCTGTACTGAATGCTAGCTATTAGAGTCTGTCTCTCGGTTATCTAATGTTGCCTATAAGCACCCCTTTTTGTCCTTTGTAATCGGGGACCTGAGCGTAGCTCCTGTAGGAAACCTTTCTCTTACTGTTTCCAGGATATTCTGGCACTGTAGCAAGACACAGTTTATTTATTTACATTATTTATAGTCCGCCTTTCTCACTGGGAGTCAAGGTGGATTACACAGAGCAAGTCGATACAATCAACAGGACAGACGTTCCGTAAACAATAAAATAGGATATGGCTTGTAGAACCAACCAGCGCTCTACATTATAGAACTGAAGCAAAGCAAAAGTGTTAACGTGACACATAAAATGATGCACGATTATGTACTAGGATCCAACTTACAGTAAACTATTTACAGTAGTGTAGACCACAGTCCCTAATAAATTGTCCGAGTAACTTTATGAATTCTTTTGTAGAGTGCTGCCCTGTTGCCCACATAGAAAAGCCCTCTTGAATAATTCAGTTTTGCATAGTTTGCAGGAGGTCGGGAGAGTGGGAGCCTTCCTGACCTCCTCAGGCAGACCATTCCACTCAGTGGGGGCGGGGGGGTCACCATGGAGAGAAGGCACGTGTACGGGCAGGTGTCAACTTTGCCCATTTGCCCATTAATGTCAGCATGTTTTTGTTGTGTGTGGGGATGGTTTATTGCTGCTTCTTGACTGACATTTCTGGTCTGGCTAAATGGAATGGCAGCTCAGCCTCCTTGAAGCCTGCCCCTGGGCACCCCTCCCAACCAATGTTTTCTCCAGCAAGAGGGAATATTTGGATGGTGCTGAGGAAATGAGAGGCATGGGTCCAGAACCCACAGATGTGCTCTGCTAATGGCAGGGCTCTCCTTGGGTGCAAGGAGCCTTCCACTGGTGTAAGAGGGTTTTTTGTTAGATTTATAGCCCTCCCTCCCCTGTACAACAGGGCTCAGAACGGATAACAGCAGTTTCCATAAATGAAAACTATTAAAACAACTCTTACAATAATACTACTAGCACTAATAAGATGACCACATAAAGGAGAAGCACAGCATAGTGCCCCTAGTCTATGGGGGAGTAGATATCATACAGTTTGATGGATGAGGGGAAAGGAAGTCAGCCCAGACAGAACTATCGTCCTCAACCATAGGCCTGGTGGAACATCTCCAACTTACAGTCCCTGCGAAAGTGCATCAAATTCCACAGGGCCCGGGTCTCACTTGACAGGGAGTGCCACCAGGCCGGAGCCAGGGCCAAAAAAGCCCTGGCGCTGGTTGAGGACACGACAAATACTCTTCAGGCTAGGGATCACCAGTAAATTGTTACCCACTGAGTGCAACACTCTTTGGGGGGTATACCAGGACAGGCGGTCCTGTAGATACGCTGGTCTCAGACCGTTTAGAGATGCTGCCGCCGCCACCACCGCCAAAAGAGTGTCTTTCATCAGGGGAAAGCTCTTTGAGCTGGGGGAAAGCACTGTCCTTGGCAGGACAGATCTGCAGGATCCAGCCAATATTGTCTCAAGGAACTGACTTTCACGGCTGGAGTTCATTAGTTGTTGTAGATTTTCTGGGCTGTATGGCCGTAGTCTTGGCATTGTATGTCCTACAATGCCAAAACCACGGCCATACAGCCTGGAAAATCTACAAGAACTGACTGTATGTTTCTTGATTTCAAGGGAGAGAGAGAGAGCATATTCCTCTCTCATGGCCTCTGTGGAAACCTCAGTGACATGAATGGGAACTGTATAACAGTGTAATTTTGTTCAGGAGCAGTTCAGTTCATACTAGAAAGATGAATGTGTGAGAAAGTTGTCACATTGTTCCTGTTGTATAACAATGCCCCCCTTTAAAAAAAAATTGCAGGCACTGAAGCAGAGAGAAGCAATCTTGAAACTGATTTTGAAAAACGAAAATGTAAGTTAATTGTTCTAACCATTGGACAGAGGGATGGCCTGACTTGGGGCCAAAAAAAGATGTGATGCAGGGAAATACTGGGTTAGATCCCCTCATATATAACCTAGCTGAGAAAAGCAGCTGGTGGGGGCTGATGGGGACCGAGGTGGTGCATTGGGGAAGGCGGGGGTTCGGTCTCACCCCACTGCCACTTTTCTGATGCGAAACTGCTGCTCCCTTTGCCCGTGTGCTGCTTTAAGCCCTGTGGAGGGGAAAAGGCAAAATATTGTGCCTGGCTTTCCCCCACCCCTCCCACCCCCGTTGGACTTAAAAGCAGGTGGGTGGTGGGGAGAAGAGAGGCTTTGATTGGGATAACAGAGTTAACTACACACACACACACATACTGCCAGCCTGGTGTAGTGGTTCAAGAGTCAGGCTAGGTGCTGGAAGACCCAAGTTTGCATCTCCACACTGCCATGGAAGATCATCTGGTGACCTTTGGCCGGTCACTCACTGCCTAACTTACCTCATAGAGTAGCTCTTTTGGGGAAAACATGGAAGAAGAGAGAATGATACCAACCCCTGGGGAGTGAAGCGGGGTATAAGTATCAAGCTAAAATTTTGGAACATCCCCAGCTTTCGTCCCTGTCAGCGCAGCCCCCCCCCTCAAATAGACTTCTTTTTGCTGCTAAGTTACGCATCAGGAATCGTTTCACGGACTCCTAGTGCCTCATGTAGATTGGGTCTTAACGTGTGGTTCTGGTACAGCATAAGTTAGAACTATTATGTATTATTTCACTGCTAGAGCTGTGGGCTTCCTGTTTGTAGAAAAGTGCTCTTGAAAAGGCCATTATATCCCAGCCTTGTATTTTAATAGGGCCGCAGTGGCTCAGAGGTTAAGACGCTGAGCTGCAGACTGGAAGGTCAGTAGCTTGGCAGTTCGAGACCTGAGTGCTGCGTGATGGAGTGAGCTCCCATCTCTGGCCCCATCTCCTGGCAACCTAGCAGTTCAAAAGCAAGAAATTGTAAATAGGTCCCACTTTGGTGGGAAGGTAACAGCATTCCGTGCACCTCAGCGTTTAGTCATGCCGGCCACATGCCCATGGAAAAGTCTTCAGACAGTGCTGACTCTTTGGCTTGGGAACTGAGATGAGCACCGCCCCCTAGAGTCAAATTCGACTGGCTTTCGAGCAGTCATTTTACAGTCCCTACAGTATTTTAATGCTGTCTATCTGGTAACACTTGGGCTGAAATAACATAACTTTTTCTGGATTGCCCCCCCCCCCAATTCAAAGTTCAGCTTGGAACAGAATCAATAGCATCAAATTCCTAGATTCTGTTCCAGTCTGGACTGTTCATTACTGCTTAAAGGAAAATACTGCCATTGTCCTTATCTGTGTTGCTTTTGTTCATTGACAGGTGGACAGGCACATAGATCTCCTTGAAGTTGCTAGAGAAACCGACGGGTTCTCTGGGAGTGACTTGAAAGAAATGTGCCGTGATGCTGCACTCCTCTGTGTCAGGGAATACGTTAATTCCTCCTATGAAGAAAGGTACCTTTTTAGCTTTGCTGTGTCAGTAAGAATATTTGATACCCAGCGGTTGTTCCTGATGGTCCTTGTTACAGAAACAGATTTTGAGAATTTTGCCAAGAGTAACTTTAGATCTTAAGGATGTGTGTATATGTGTGTGTGCATGAAACAGGAGGAACTGGGAATGACCTCCCTCTACTCTTGTAGTGAGATACATGTGCTCCTGGCACAGGGCAGCAGTGCACACATTTCTCTGCTTGTAGGGGAAGGGTGAGTGGAAATTTGTCAGTTCAGATAAGAGGAAGATACTCTGGGAACAGGAAGTGAATGTCCGTCGTGCTTCTTTCTGTTCCACATGCACCGAGGGATGTCTGCAGCTGTTTGGGAAACTGGAAGCAAAGAACAAGTTGCTTGAATATTTTGTATTTGAAACACACTTAGCAGCTTAGGCTTTTTATTGTTTCTCAGCGTAAAGTTTTTTCCTCGACATGTGTCTTTTGTTTAAATTTCTTATACAGCAACCTGAATTAACTTTACTTGTTTGTTTGTTTGTTTATTTGCTTAAAGCCAAGAAGATGATGAAATACGGCCTGTACAACAGAGAGATCTACACCGGGCAATTGAGAAGATGAGGAAGTCAAAAGATGCAGCAACCCAGAGTGTTCTAATGCATGTTAGTTTAGATTAAGGCTGAGGGAGGGGAGTGTGTGCGTCTGTGTGTTCCAATGTGGCCTCATTCAGTGGCTTGCTATGTGATTTAAGTAGCAGAAATGGATTGGAAGCCTTTTAATAAGTGTTTCTGGAATTGTTTTTATATTCTGACATTTAAGTTATTGAAATCTGGTACTCTTTCAGAACTGGGTATGGCCTCAGTAATAGATCATGGCATGGAAGAATGTAGTCCAGCTCAAAAGCAAAGTCCTGTTTCATTATTGCAGCCTTAAAAAGCCTTTGGTAGGTTCTGGTGTGGCACATGGTTTCTAGGGGGAAGGGGAATCAGACTTCATGTATATATGTATGAATGTGTGTGTGTATATGATATGTAAATATATATATATCCACACAGTTTTTATAAATATAGACATAATGATGTGTAGATAATTTGAATATGAAAAGCCTTTTTTTGTTGTTTTTTTTAACTTAATTGCTGGATCAAACTGAATCAGAGGATTAAAAGATTCAATATACATTTACCTATATTTGTCCATTACCTTAATGTAAAAGCAGATTCTGCTTTTGGGTATAACTTTTCTGGAATGGAAATCAGACTCCTTGTTTTCTGTTAACTCATGGAATCTGCTGGTGCCAATCAGTTTAGGTAGAAAACTTATGTAAGGCTCGTGTTTTTGTTTTTTTTTTAAAAAAGAATCCTGTTACCAGTTTTTTATACTGTCATAATTGTTCCTAGTAGAAGATTGCTAAAATTGCATTTCACTGTAATTTATCTTTCTGTTCCTCAGTTTTGTGAATCATTTCCTGTTGAATACTATGCTTGGGGGACTTTTGCTGTTAAAAGTTCCCTTAGCACTTACTACTTACACGCCACTGGTCACAACACAAAATATGATAGTATTGCTGGTGTAAGCTCTTGGGTTGCTTCCTTTCACCCCCAACTTTGCTCATTTCTGTAGTTCTCTATAGGTCTTCCACTGATTAATAGGACTTAACAATAAAATCTCCCCCCCCCCAATGACAAACGTGTAATGGTGAGATATAGAACATTTCAGGTTTAGTTTTAGAAATCCCTTTAAATCTTTTTTCCCCTCCACTTACCTTGCAATACTAAATTGTGAGCAGGTAGATGCATCTGCACTAATTAAAATATCCCGCTAGTCATTATATTCACAATACTGAAAGTTGGATTCTGCCAGTCCACTCAGCTAAGAGCAGAGCCTCCTTCCTGCACGGAGGGAACATTCCCCACCAGAGGACTCCACGGTTAGCTGAGCAGAATGTTAGGATCTTAACCTGTGGCTGCTGTTTTTTCTAATGCACTGGTAATAATAAGAATGTGGATAACAAGGCAGAAACTGAGCCCATTGTTAAAAACATGCTTCTATCTCCTTATTCAAATGAAGCGTCAGGCAGTCTTAATGCTATGGATGATAATTCGGAAATAGGTCCCAGTGTGGTAGATGTGCATAGGAATGTAGCTAGAGGATGATCGTGTTCTGTTCCTTTTACTTATCAACCACGTTCATGGATACCATGGTTGCAGTGTTTACACATAAGGATGCTTTGTGTTCTTTTCTGTTTGTCTTTCTGTCCCAAGTCTGAATAACGGGAAGCAGAGGGGACAGAGAAGAATCCCTATCTGGTGTTCCTTTCTAAATGTACTGGCTTTTGCCCAGCCTTTTCCCTGCTTTGAAATGAGAATATGTAGATTTTAAATAAGCGTTTCTAGTTTAAATAATACATTGAACTCATATTAATGCCTTTTCAGCATTTAGGAAAAAATAAATGGCAGACAGTTATCAGGATATTTCAGTCAGTGCCCTGCTGAATTCTCTCCTCCCATTTCCTCTGCTCTCTGTGTGGAAATTCCATGGAGATCTCTTCTCCGTTGGCCTCCATGCTGAATAGGATGGCTGCATGCGCCCTACAGTGTGCAGTCGAGCACATCGGGAACCATGCCCCCCCTCCCCGGTAGCAAGCTCCCTAGTTGATCGTCATGATGTTGAAAAAATCTTATTTGCTGTGATACAGCTTGCACTTTATGAGGTTTCAAGAATATATTTGTCATGAACATAATCTGGATTTAATATAGAAATCACTGTTCAATGTTACAAAAGGAGTATCATTATTTGGTTTCCTGATCATCATCTTTCATGCATACCTCTGTCATTTGTCATTTTGTGTGTATAGGGAAAGCAGTCTCCAAAAGAGCACCCTATTGTTTTGCTGCCCTTACCCAGTTCTTCTGTACACTCTTTGTTTGCTTGTTTGTTTGTTTTTAGAATGATCACTCAGAACCTAGAAAAGAGCAAGAGTCCAGTAGCGCCTTAAAGACTAACAACATTTGTGGTAGGGTATGAGCTTTCATGCGTCACTGCTCACTTCTTCAGATACCTGAATCTGAAGAAGTGAGCAGTGACTCATGAGAGCCCATACCTAAGGCGCTACTGGACTCTTTTCTGCTGCTCCAGACAGACTAACCTGGGTACCCATCTTGATCTACTACTCAGAACCTAGACACCGAAGTCAGTTTTAAATTTTGATCTGGTGGAAGTTCATCATGCTGAGGTCCTGCTGGAATCAATATGACCCGTTAGCTGCAACTAACTAAGCGCAACCAACTTTGGATGAATTGGGACTCTCATGAGGTGCCGTTATATCATGTACTGTTTTAATTTTGATCGTTTTCCAGTAACAGAATCCTGAGAATGTTCTGTCTTTTTTTTATGAAGCAGCTGCCTTTTTACTGTGACCAAGCACTTTCTCGAACAGTTCTGCCTAATTTATGACCCTGATAATATGGATTATTCTTCCTTGTGTACATTTTGGAAGAATCATTCCAAAGCTCATCGGTTTGCCTTGAAATCCGTTGTCTTGATGTAACTGGGAAAATGGGCCATCTCTCTAGTTGCCCTGCCAGTTCATTTCAGGTACTTACTTACTTGGCTAGCAATCCTTTTTGCATAGTAGAGGATGTTCTTGGAGAGACAGGCACACTCCTCTGTTCTCCGCTGTGCATGTACATAACAGGAGGCTAATGCCCTGTGTGGAGGTCTGGTTTCTGCAGCTCTTCCCTCTTAAAAGGATGGGGAGCCCTTTGCTTGGAGCTTCCAACACGAATACATTAGTGTGTGCGATGTGTCTGCCTGGTTCTCCATCACACTGAGGATTGCCCGTCTGGACTGTGTCTGAAATGGACCTTCGAACAGTATTCTTGTGAACCTGGGTTTATCCATCTCCATTATGAAAATTGTTCTTTTTAGTGCTCTACCCTTAACTGCATATCCGTAGGAAAACATTTTTCTTTTAGCCTTAGACTACAAGGCTTCATCAAGACTGCATACAGATCTCAGTTTTAAGTTGAATGAAATTAGTAAAAAATAAGTAACTGATGTTAGTGATGTATACGATCCTTAACTTGCTGCTGGGCTCTTGCACCTCAGTGCTTGTCCCTCCCCTCTTCATGCAGAGACTTACCTGTAATAGTTGAATCCAGGAGCACCATGGCCTACAAATACAGATGCACAGGTTAACTGGAGTTGGTCCCATACACACAAACCAGGATTCTAACCCAGAACTTCATCCAGGTTTAGAATCCCACTTTGAGTGGTAGAAACTTAACTATAGTTGAATGCCTGTATTTGTATGCCATGGGTTCTCTGTGCTAAAAGGAAAAGGAGGAAGAAGTGAAGTGGGTGTGCAATTCCAGCAACAGACCAAATTCATACCCATCTTGGTGTTAAGCTGGTTAAAAGTGATCTCTGAATGTTACCTAAGAATCTTTGGTCAGGCTGTAAAATAGAAGTAACAAATTCTTTGTCACTGGCTAACCTCCACTGTTATCAAGTATCTTTTCTTTTGCCATCAAGTGGCAACTGGCTTATGGTGACCCCATAGGGTTTTCAAGGCAAGAGATGTTCAGAGGTAGTTTGCCAGCACCTATCTCTGTATAGAGGCCATGGACTTCCTTGGAGGTCTCCTATCCAAATACTAACCAGGGCAGCTCCTGCTTAGCTTCCGAGGTCGGGCCAGCTTGGGCTCTCCAGGTCAGGACATCTGCTACTGCTTTAGCACAAAGCAAGATTCATTGGATCGCAAGAACACAACGACCACTCTTCTAGAATAATACTAACAGCTGTGGCCAATGGTAGAAGACAGCAAAGAGGCCCCACGAGGTTTGACTAATGTGATGGGGTTTTGGTTCCATTTAAATTCTAGGTGAAGCCATAAATGTTACAAGGCTGTAACAAAACATTTGCAACTGTGCTTTTTTCCCTGTGTGCTACTGCTACTTTTTCACCACATGGTTTTTAGGATCAAACAAAATGATATGTATTATGACCACAACAGCTAAGTGTAAATGGGGAAATACAAATAAACTATCTGGCCTCTTTAGGAGGTCCAACTGTCTTTGTATTCTACTTCATTTCCTGAGCAGATTCTTCACTTTCTTAGGTGATGTAACAAGTCACAAATATGTGATTGTATTTGTTTCCCGTTATGCAGTTCTAGAGTATACGTTTACATTACCCACAGGTTTTGTCTTCATCACATTAGCAGTGAGTCCCTAAAGAGAACCGTTTCCCGTGCGTCTAAGGCAACCAATGTAATCTGTTCTGTTTTCTTGTCTAAACATGACATACTTTCCCTATCATAACAGAGATTTGTTTGTCATCTCAATTCCTTATGAAATCAGAGAATTTGTCCCAAAAGCATTATAGGTATCATGGAAGTTAGACTTCTCCAGTTGTTGACTGGGTCAGCATGGAGTGCGGAGAACCAAGTCTGGTTTGTATCTCTTCCTCCTTATACAGAACATACTCCATGATTAGCCTTGTACATGCTAGTTGTATATGTCCTTTTTGTGGTGGGTCAGTGGAACAGTGTAGATGTGAAGGGATGCATGTCTGCAGTTTAGTCACACTGTATGTTCTTGTGTGGTGGCTGTTGTTTGTTGTTTAGTCAGGAGTGAGTGCAAGTTGCAAGCTTCATCCCACTAAAATATTTCTGCGCTGCTGTGTAAACTCCCTTGGGGGGCAGGAGAGAGAGATGTGTATGATCAGTTATACATTAAATATGGGACGTTAACTAATATAGAAAATTTGAATGTCTCACTCAATACCCTTCACTACAGCCCCCATCCCGCAAGACTTTTGTTGGTGCAGGTCCCATGATCCCCATTGTAGCATTTTTTGGTGGTCAAACAGGACCCACCTTCCACTCATTTTCAGCAGCAGAAAATCTGGTTGGATCTAACCCTTTGGGCTAGATCCTATGGATGTTGCAAGAGGGACTGCTGGGGAAAAGGTAA